CAGCAGCAGCAGCAGCAGCAGCAGACGCAGCAGAGATGAAGCAGATGCAACAGGAGATGTAACAGCAGCAGCAGCAGCAGCAACAGCAGCAGCAACAGCAGCAACAGCAGCAGCAGCAGATGCGGTATATGCAGCGACAGATACAGCAGCAGCAGCAGCAGCAGCAGCAGCAGCAGCAGCAACAGCAGCAGCAGCATACAAAAAGGAGACAGAAGAGAGACAAAAGGAGACACCTTATAATACATCTTTTACAACATGAACAATGATGAGCTCAAAAAAACAAAAAAAAACAGAAAACAAACAAAAAAAACAAAAAAAAACAGAAAAAAAAAACAGAAAAAAAGAGAGAAAAGAGAGAGACAGAATAAAGGAGACAAAAGAAGAGACAAAAGGAGACACCTACAGTGGTGATCCATCCAAAAAAAACAGAAAAAAACACAAAAAACACAAAAAAAAAACACAAAAAAACACAAAAAAACACAAAAAAAACACAAAAACAACACAAAAAAAACAGAAAAAAAAACAGAAAAAAAGAAAGACAGAATAAAGGAGACAAAAGGAGACAAAAGAGAGACAAAAGGAGACAAAAGGAGACACGTACAATGATGATCCATTCTTATAATACATCTTTTACAGCCAGAACAATGCATAAAAAACACAAAAAACACAGAAAAAACACAAAAAAAAACAGAAAAAAACACAAAAAACACAAAAAAAAACAGAAAAAAAAACAAAAAAAACAGAAAAAAAGAGAAACAAACAAAAGGAGACAAAAGGAGACAAAAGGAGACAGACAAAAGGAGACACGTACAATGATGATCCATTCTTATAATACATCTTTTACAACATGAACAATGCATAAAAAACACAAAAAACACAAAAAAAACACAAAAAAACACAAAAAAAACACAAAAACAACAGAAAAAAAAACAAAAAAACAGAAAAAAAAACAGAAAAAAAGAGAAACAAACAAAAGGAGACAAAAGCAGACAGACAAAAGGAGACACGTACAATGGTGATCCATTCTTATAATACATCTTTTACAGCCAGAACAATGCATAAAAAACACAAAAAACACAGAAAAAACACAAAAAAAAACAGAAAAAAACACAAAAAAAACAAAAAAAAACAGAAAAAAAAACAAAAAAAAACAAAAAAAGAGAGACAGAATAAAGGAGACAAAAGAGAGACAAAAGGAGACAAAAGGAGACACATACAATGATGATCCATTCTTATAATACATCTTTTACAGCCAGAACAATGATGAGCTCAAAAAACATAAAGAAACACAAAAAACACAAAAAAACACAAAAAAACACAAAAAAACACAAAAAAAAACAAAAAAAAAACAGAAAAAAAGAGAGAAAAGAGAAACAAACAAAAGGAGACAAAAGGAGACAGACAAAAGGAGACACGTACAATGATGATCCATTCTTATAATACATCTTTTACAGCCAGAACAATGATGAGCTCAAAAGAAACACAAAAAACACAAAAAAAACACAAAAAAACACAAAAAAACACAAAAAAAACAGAAAAAAAAAACAAAAAAACAGAAAAAAAAACAGAAAAAAAGAGAAACAAACAAAAGGAGACAAAAGGAGACAAAAGGAGACAAAAGGAGACACGTACAATGGTGATCCATTCTTATAATACATCTTTTACAGCCAGAACAATGATGAGCTCTTAAAGGTTTAGCAGAAAGACATTTGCTGCAGAGCTGCCTATACACCCCAAGTTCAACTGTCTCCGCTTCAACTAAAGAAGAGACAGATTCTCTCTTTGTTCCTGTTTTATACACAAATAAATAAATAAATAAATAAATAAATATAAATAAATATAAATAAATAAACAAATATAAATTTATTTATGTATTTATTTAGTTGTTTGTTTGGTTAGCTATTTATTGATGTATTTATAAAGAAGACACAGATTCTCTCTTTGTTCCTGTTTTATACACAAATAAATAAATAAATATAAATAAATAAATAAATATAAATGTGTTTATTTGTTTATTTAGTTGTTTATTTTTTTATCTATCTATTTATCTATTTATTGGTGTATTTATAAGGAAGACACAGATTCTCTCTTTGTTCCTTTTTTATACACAAATAAATAAATAAATAAATAAATAAATATAAATAAATAGATATAAATATGTTTATTTATTTATTTGTTTTTTTATTTATTTATTTATGTATTTATTGATGTATTTATTTGTGTATTTATTTATAAGGAAGACACAGGCTCTCTCTTTGTTTCTGTTTTATACACAATAAAAATAAATAAATATAAATAAATATAAATAAATATAAATAAATAAATAATTAAATAAATTAAATAAATTAATATACAAATGAAAGTAAGAGATATATATTTTTATTTTTATTTTTATTTTTCTTTGTTTATTATAATGATGATGATATCTAAGGTGGTGGTTCTCCTGCTGCTGCTGCTGCTGCTGCTACTACTGCTGCTGCTGCTGCTGCTGCTACAGTTC